GAAGGCGGCGAGGACGAGGAGTAGATCATATGACAACATGACGGATGAGGGACTGATCAGTCAATCTCGGCCCGGCTCGACTGTCCAGATGTTGATGGGAGTGTTGGCATGTAACGTCAAAGAGGCATTTTTGTTCCAAGCAAAATTACGCCATCTCAGTGACACCGAAGGGGAAAGCCCAGTTGAACCCAATTGACGACATGTCAAGTCAAGAACTTCAGCATGCCAGCGGTTGATTCCGCCAGGTAGCTAAGCTAGCGAGCGAGCGAGCGATACAGGGTTTTCCTCATACGAGAAATCTTTGGTTGCATTCCCCATTTCCATTTCCATTCCTTGTCCTTGGGTATCATTGTGTGCCACCATCTAACCAGTAAACGTCAGCAATCATCCAAAAAGTCGGCACTACGTCCCGTCTCATCTCGTCTTTACGTCTAAATATGTCCTCGTTCCCTTCGTGATCAGGATTCAGTCCTTTACACCCCCAGCAATCCCTTCATAACAGTCTCGTTGGCTCTATACCATCTGCCCAACTCCTCCACCTCGTCCCTCCCCCCTTGCTCACGCCTCCTTCTCCCCTCGATCGCCAGTTTTGTGCTCTCATTGCGCCTCTTCTCGAGATCGACCAGCTCACGGTCCATTTTCTCGACCTCGCGCACCTTTGCGGGCATCAGCCTCTGCAGCTCCGCGATTTCCCTGTCGATCTCGGCGTTGCGCTCTCGTTGTTCCCTGAGTTCCTGTTCCGTGGCCGCGAGCGAGAGATGCATCCTGGGGTCGCCGCTTCCCGGATCCGCACCGTCGTGACCCCGTCGAACCGCAATGTCGGCCTGTAACCTCTCCACCTCGGCCCTCAGCGTCTCGATCTCCGCTGGAACCCGTTCGAGTACGTCCATACCCTCTCTGACGCCTTCGTACGCGCGCGCGACATCCCGCGCGCGCCCCTCCATCTCCCTGACCAAGGCGTCGACCTCGTCCTTTTTCGCTTTCAACTCCCTCTTCATCACCGCGAGCCGCTCCTCCAGGACCAGATTGTCTTCATGGCTCACGACGAGGGGAGGGTCCCCCACGATGCTGCGCAGGTATTTCTCCTTGGTGACCTGTTCGAGGTAGCTGAAGCGCAGTTTCGAGAACAGGTCCTTGTAATGCGCCAGGTCGGCGAGGAGCGTGGCAGGCGTGAGCTGCAGGTTGGACTCTGTCTCCGAGGTCGAGGTGGATAGGGTGTCGGAGGGACGTGGGTGTAGGTCCGATGGTCGCTTTTGGGGTAGAGGTTGTGTTTGCGACGCGGTAATGGGCTCCGCGAGCGCGATGATCGAAAGCGGTTGTGCATTTTGCTGAGCACGAAGGGCTTCGAGAGTATCGTGATAGTCCATTGAGTCCATTATTCAAAGCAGCAGTCGATGATTCAGAACAATATTGCAGGCGTCCCGAGCAGTTCGATGTACTTAGATGAATCTGGAAAGGTAAACATCAAGATGCCAAGATGAGTTAGCCACCCACCCCCGCATCGGGACTTTAGTGATGCCGCCCTGTGGCCACCCGCGTGGACTGGTCGTTGCAAAGAAAAAGTTCCCGCCGAATTTGGAGGTCACCACCGCTGCTTTTGGGAGGTTCCTTCCCTCAATGCCAAGATCCCCCCTTCCTCCCTCCTCCAGTTGGGACGGGCGGCCCTTCTTACGTCGACCCCAACCCCATCGCCTGGAGCATCCATTCTCGTTTCTGAGGCTATAACCTTGCACTTTGCTCTTACATCACGCAACCATGCATCCCACAATCAGCACGGGGTACATATACAGCGGACAAACACACATCACAACAAAATCAGAGCTGCTATCGCCAGCACCCCCACCGTGGTATACACAGTACGTGAGTTCTTCCGACTCACTCCATTTTCGGACGCGTTTGCAGTGGCGTTACCATTTCCACTCCCATTGTCAGTGTCGTTACCGCTAGCCATAGAGTTCGCTTCTGACGCCTGGACCCGCGACAGCCATAGCTCGACGGGGTCCAAGTCTGGCTCACAATGTGCATCCGCCTCGGGAAGCGTCCCGTTGAGGAAATAAGCTTGAACGTGTCTGGATACACACGCGGAAGGGTTGACAAAGACACCATGACCGTAGCCGCTATGGGGCAGCACCGCACTGCCCGTGAATCCGGCGCTGCCATTGTACGCGTTGACAAGCGGGGTCACCGGGTCGAACTCGCCGTTCACATACAGGATCGGGGATTTGGTCGTGGCGCGGAAATCTCCCCAATATCGCTCCCTGGCGTGCATTCGCCACCGCGCAGAAGGCCAGATGTTGAAATACGAAGCGTCGCTGAAGCCGGGGCTGACGCTGGCTTGGTATTTGACCTGAGAAAGGTATTCGTTGCTCGAGTTGGCAATGAATGTGGCGTCACTCGCGCGGATTCCAATCACGGCATACTTGGCCAGACCGTAAAGCACAGGCGTAGTTGTATTGGCGGGCGCGCTGGCGGTCCCATTCATGATGCTGGCGAGCGTCTCTGCAAAAGTGGGCCATGTAGAAGGGTAGTAAAGCGGCTCAATGAAAGTCCCCTTAACCCCCAAATAGGTAACATAGCCTTCGAGACTCGAAGTCGCATTCTCGGCGAGAGGTGTCAGAGCAGCGTTGATGGCATCGAGGAGATCTTGTGTTGTGTTCGGTCGAAGAAGTGAGTATAGAGCGCAATCGTCGGCGGTGTCGAAGCATGTCTGGAGAAAGCCAGCGAAAGCCTCGTCGATATCGTGGGCGAATTCTCCGTAGTGGCCGGCTTGGTAGTCGTGAGGATTCAAGTTGCCATCCAGAACCATGCGCTCAACGCGGTCGGGAAACATGGCAGCAAAGTAGGATCCTAGCGCCGTGCCGTACGACCAGCCATAGTAGCGAAGAAGGCCGTCTTCGTCAAGAGCGTCGACGATTTCGATCATGTCTCGGGCTGTAAATGCTGTCCCGATGAGTGTTCCCGTTTCGTTCGATTGTCCAGCGCAGTAGTCTGCAATTTGACCAGCGTAGTCCCATCCGACGTTAAGAAAGACTTCCGTCACATTCGTGCTGATTAACGTGCCAACGTCGCGCTTCTGAGCTGGAGCTGGAGCCGCGGCCAAGGCATCAAGATCGCAGGTGAACGGAAGAGTATAACCGGTTCCACGAGGGTCCCAGGATACGAGATTCCACTGCGGCCCAATGACACTCTGCGCGATTTCAGCGACCGTAGGTAAATTCTCCGCGCCCGTGCCTCCGGGGCCACCGAAATTGATCAGGACGGATCCCAAAACCGGTTCTTGGGTGGCATTGACTCTGAATAACCGGAGGTCAAGCGGACCTGAGTCAAGATCCGTGTAGTCCAGGGGTACCGAGAGTGTAGCGCAGTCAAAGACTGAGCCTCCGCCACCCAGCAGTGCAGATATGTTCGCGTTCAGCTCTGGGCAGGGCTGAAATTGAATGCCGGTCTGCCCACCACCTTGCGCCAGGACGCCGACAGCCGCGAAAACGCTCAGTACCGTCAATGCAAGTCTTGATGACATTTTCTAGGGTATGTTTTTGGAAAAGACAAGAAGAGGAATGTATTGGTGATACATGGGGTCGGAGCACTCGAGACGAGGCTCTATATAGCTTTTAATCAGCTGCGGGAAGCGGGAAAAGTGAGCATGACGTCGTCCACACTGAGGCTTAGGTAGTCTCCGCCGTCGATCAACCTGGGTGAAGGTCAGTGCAACTGCCAAGTCGACATGAATGTTACCCAGGGCGGATTGTGGATGTTGGCAGTCTGATCGGGGGCCACACGCGTCGAGCCTGAGCCTTGGCCGACCTGTAGCGTGCCCTCCGACTGGCTCGTCGAATGCAAGAATGGGCCATCCTAAGTCTCAGTGCTTCGACACTGAGCAGCTCCGCCACAACCTCGCCGAGTAGTACTGGAGAGCGTGAGAGCTTTCCGCTGGGGCTCTGGGCAATCATTATTCAGCCTTGGCCCTTGGCCTGGGCATTTGTGACTGTGGGCCAATCAGAGCCCATGTAGCCGGCGATTCATTGGCCTGACCGCCAAGCCACTATTCTGCTTCTGGTGCTATGTGCCGCTGGCCAACGTCTCGTCTCCGGAACATTGACCGGAAGATTGAAACCTGGAGGAGACGGGCAGCTGTCGCCTAGTACTGAGAAATTCAGTGGTGAAAGGACTACTGATTCTGCTCACCATGGCAATATGGGAGACTCGTTCGGAAGTGAAATTGGAGGGGCACGATAGATCTGCGATGGTTTGTTGCGCACATGGTAGAGTTACTCCGTATTCGGAGACATCGTCCGGCCGCGGTCGTGAAGCACAACGGGACCAGCAGCCGGGACAGGAGGTCAGTTCTTCGCGATCAATCCACATTTCTTCCACCATGACTATCTACGGGAGTTGAGGGGGGACGTTTGGAGTTCTGGAAGAGATTAAATATAGTAGAAATAGAAGTATCCCGGTCTTGGTCTATTTTACTACATAGGAGAAACTTAGACTGTCATCATCACGACAGTCGAGAGGCCATTCGCCGATTAGCCCTTCTAACACAGATTCTGTCCAAACCGGGTACCCTTCAGACATCAGCTCGCACTCATTGATGATCTCGTCTGGAGCCTAAACTCAGAGCAGCGCCAACTTCTCAAGTTTAGGACGAGGTTTCTGTTTGAAGAATTCTCCAGACATGATCCCATGCACATACGCTTGGTCAATCAGACGGTAGATATGTCTACTAGGAGTACAATCTGTTGTTGTGTTTCTGACCACCAGGTCACCGACTCTACATCTGTCTTGGGCGGCTAGGCAAGAATATCCAGTCAAAGTTCGAAATGGTTGAGCGGCGTTTGGAGACGAGAGTAGATTCACCACTTTTGTAGCGTAGTGCGCCAAACAGATCCCCTCACTCTCGATTTTTGGGAATGTCAATTCCTGTACAACTTCCTTCTGCGACCGCGTGGGTTTCACGAGGAGGTTCTTAAGGAGGCCCGTAAGACTGAGTATTGGTAGAGCTAGTTCAGTCTTGACTTGGAGGCCGACAGTTGCTGTGAGCAAAAGATCGGTGGTGATGCATTCTCTTGCAGAAGTTTCCTGTTCGTTTTGATCTTTAACATACCGTCATGGTCCCAAATGGCAGTCCCAATCGAATCCAACCATGACTGGAGAAGCTTTGATGGCTTCTCGTTCGGACCATCGCTGTTGCGAGAGATTCGGCCCCTGTAAGTGTCTCCCACAAGTACAATTTCATCAATAATGAATCCATCCAGATGGATTAGGTCAGGAAAGCGGGACATATCAAGGGCAGGAGAGCGTTGATACCAGTCACTTGACCCGTGTAAACGATAGAGATGCGGGTCAAAACCCGGTTCTGACAAGTTGGACCAGTATGGGACCCATGACGGCAGGTCAGGTCTTGGTTCCGATCTTGTTGCGTCAAGCAGAGTGTCCAAGTTGCCGTGCCGAAGCAGTGCTGATGTGATTTCTGTGAAGACGACTTCAACTGATTTCGCATAATCCGGAGTGATGTGTAACTCCCGCCGGTCTGCAGCTACTGAAATAAGTGCATAGACATGATCTCGGGCGTCTGTAGCGTGGAGCAAATGGAGTCGTCGCAACAGGCTCAGAAGAACGGGAGCATCATGTTTCCGATACCGCGAGAGCAACTGCCAAACCTTAGGCCCTAGCCTTGGCCCTAAATGAAACTTCCATCTTCGGAACCCTAGGTTGTTTGCTGCTGTAATCATCGGAGGTAAAGCTGCGTGGAGCTTGCTTTCACCAGAAGCTCTTGAGAGACCGCGCCAATGCATTACACTTTCCAGGGCGAGGTCGAGATTGTCGGTCAAGCTGTTGCCACAAAGAAACAACCGTTTGCGAGCACAAGTAAACTCCTGGAATATCCACATCCGTGGCCAATATACGTGATTTGCTAGAGCAAGGACAGCATCCAGGTGCTCAGCATCTTTGAGAAGCGTTGATATAGCGTCTCCCGAAAGCGAGACGATTTCTCTAAATGCCCGCGAGGAGCCGAGACCAGCATTCGGAAGCATAAATTCTTCCCGGATCATTGAGATGGCATATTCAATAGCTGCGACGACGCTGTTACAAGGTCTCTCCTGATCAACAAGTCTGCTGAGAAGTGGATCATGTCCGAAATTGAACTTCTGCAATGCGGCGAAAGCCAAGTCACTTTCGGCAGTGCCGCGTCCAAGCCATGAAATAACGCACGCTGCACGCTTGTATATTGTTGTCATTTCCTGAATTTGCCATGACTTCTCTTCGTTGTCCTGCTGATTGATGCAGATTGCGTCAGCCTAAATGACGCGAATATTCGTATTTGCTCGAATGCTTCGAAGTCCTTCTGCCAAGTTTTCAGGAATCCGTGCGACTTGGCCATTGACCTCAATGTCGCTCAAGCGTGTCGGATCTCCCTAGACATAAGAAAGGGCGTAAAACCTGGAAGGCTTTTGCTGTAAAATGCGCGGCACATTCCGTTGCGCGAAACGGAGCAATTTGTAGAGGACGTACAATGTATAACTGATTTGCGGTGACGCGGCCGCTAGTAGTTCTCTAGCATCGAGATCGAACTTTGTACCATAAAACGTCAAGGAAGTTGTAATCAATTGACATCGCAGTGGGCTGTTGGGTGAATCTCGACTCTCCAATCCCTGGTCATCATTGTGCAGGAGTATGAGCCGTATCTCGCGTCGTGAATGATTCAGAGGTTGGTAAAAATTACCCGGCATCATGCAGCGATGGCACCAATGGTACTCGGTACTTTGCGGGACACCATGAGGGGAACTGACTGCACTATGGCCGCATAAGTCCAGGCGTATGTCAGGAAAGGATAGAGCTGGTCAAGCACTCAGAAAGCTGAATACTATAAGGCTGTCACTCTAAGTGAAGTCGTAAACGAATGTAACTTGGCCCGCCGACTTCTGGCCTTCTTGTTTCCGCATGATTGTGCATGGCAATGCGAGTATGATGCGGCTGACCGCCTAGGCAACCAAGCTCTGTCAAGACTGTAGTTATGCTCATACGATAAAGGGGTATCATTCTGGTTTCGAGCCCTTGGCGGTAGCCGGTGTAGATTGTTGATTGGGCGCCTGGTCCCCCAGTCCCCTTGGGGACCTCGCTAGAGGTATTATAATAGATCATAAACAGAGTAGGATGACGGGGGACTAGGCAGCTAGGGTTCTTATAACCGTCAAAAGCGGCGGCGCGCACAGTCCTCGACCTTTCCCGAAACGGCAGGACTCCCCAGTACAAGAGGAAATGTATTTTACGGCCACCACCGAATCAGTTGAATCTGTGTTTCACCGTCTCCGAGATGGCCATCTTGCCCGTATACACTTTTCCAAACGAGCCTGATTCTATTTGTTGACAGATTTGCTAAGGCTCATCTAAATGGATTTCGAGGTGTCGAAAAAATAGGGTGTCCATCGTAGGACGAGCATCAGAGTATTTCCTGTAGAGTGTCCTAAACACAGCAGCTGAAACCGAAAATGTTGCGCTTTTACATCCGACCCGGGAAATGTCTATAGTGCATCCGCTCTGAAGTAACTCCAACCATGGGGCGTGTCTGACGACCTTGTCCCGAGTCCTACACGCTTTGGCATTACCTGGAGAGGTCTGAAGGTTTTCTCCATTGAAGATGTGTGCGTTCCATTCCGTGTGTGGGTAGTTCAATTCCCGCCGAAGGTCGTCCAATGCGTTCTAGATGCGACATGATAGTCTATGGAGGTGCCGAGGGTGCTCTGTTAATAGCCATAGAGGCCCCGGAAGCAGAGCGACCATCTCGTCCAGTTGCAGAACCGGAGCTCACGGACGCTGCACTTGGTTTTCGGCGCTTGACCGGGGTTACTTCGTCGAGAGCCAGCTCGTCTTCGGAGGAGTCTGATCCAGTGACAAGGCCCGTTGACTGGGATTGGCGGCTGGTCGTCAAGCGTGTCTTGGTGCTGGGCGCAGGCATCTGACGAGCCACCTGATTGGCATGGGCAATGAGACTGTCCCGCTCTGTCTTTGCTAGGTCTCGACTACGCCGGTACGCAGTAGCTCCTTTGACGAATGTCTCCCTGTCGTGTGTCATTCCGTAGGACCCAGTTAGAGTCATGTGATACTCAGGATTCCCTCCAGGAGTCAGAGGCTTTGTGAGATGGTGCGCGTAGGTCTGGAGGACACCAACGCCTGCCTGGTATATTGCGCTGAAGCTTCGTGCTTTGTTATCATATCCCGGCTCCTTAGCTTTGTAATTCTGGAGTTCGTGCATGGCTCGCGCTCCAACAGCTCCATCAATCAGTGCCTGTCGCTTTGCCACGTCCGATCGTCCTTGAGCGCTTTTGCCCTCGACGAAGAAATTCGGAGCGGCTGGACGAGTTATGTCGACCTTCGATGGAATGATGTAAGTCCCCAAGTCAGCGCGCACCCGCGGGTGGATGGTCGATAGTGCCACTCCATGATAGACGTCGGGCTTTGGGTCACTGAGATCTTTGTCGAACGCTTGCAGGTTGCTCAATGACAGGTCCATCTCGAAACGATGGGCTGCTTCGTTTCCAGCGATCAAAGGGAATAGATTATGAATCCCAGTAGTCTCGCCTTTTACTCTTGCATTTGCCCGCTTGAAAGCTCTGAAATCTTCCTCTGTAAATCGCGATGGTGAGAGAGACGGTCGAGGGACCCGTTGTGCGGCCTGAATATCGCTCAAATTTGCCGGTTCAGGCGCAAACTGTCCATCTGGATGTTCGTGGTCATCGGGATAGATACAAGTATCAATCAGTTTTTGCTCAAAATTGCCGCTATAAGGTGTGATCTTAGGAGAGGTAATCTTAGCCAAGTCACCCGGCTTCGAAGAGGCTGAGGAGCGTTTCCGGCTTTGGGAGCTAACATGATCGCTCATCCTGTCGTGGACCGAAAGGGGCAAGTCGGCAAGCTGTCACAAACTCTGGTCAGTCTCCAAGGCAGGCCCATGTCGGCAGAGAAAAGACAAACCCCTCGAAGGTGTGAAAGATCAGGTCCCCCACATCGGGCAAACCTCTTGAGCCGTAGAACAGCACGTCCTGTGGGATATCCGACCTTTGGCGTGAATGTGCAAGGCGACTGAACCTTCTCTTCAATGCTCCGGCGGTCAAACTCCCAGAGAGCGCCGCGGGTCAAATGAACCTTGGACAGCGTGTTCCAGTAGCTGGGAGGACGACGACAACGTAGGTCACGGCAAGGAAGGTCACGGCTTTCCGACAGAGGTTTTTGTTTCTTTGCTACCGGCTCCGCCTCGAGATCCGCGGGCCCTTGTGAGGACCGCTGTCGCTTTCTCGACTCGGGTTCTTCGAGGGCGAACATGAGTGAAGAGAGGACGAAGAGTCGAGGAGAAAGGTGTGAGGAGGTGGCCTCAAAGAAGGACACGAACAGCAGTGGCAGGCTAGGTAAGGATGCATGTTGAGAGGAGGTGTGGCATGAGATGCATGCCGCACTTCACATCCAGTCACCGTATGACTCGTAGTCGTATATCTGCGTTGATGGGAGGTTGACACACGATTTCAAGCCTCTGGCGCTAAGGAAATGGTTTATTGGATCAGAGATTAACGCGTTTGCGGGCTGTGCGTGCCACCCTTAGCGTGTCAGGTTCGGGCTTGCGGGGTTGGTTCTAGGCAGCCATGTGCGATCTACAATGTACCTTGCGAGTTGCTACCTAACCACGTACAGTTAAGGAGCCCCAGGAGAAAGTGGAGCGAGCCGCTCAAGGTCAAACTGCCACAAGTACCTCGTAAACACACCCTCGGTCGCAGTCGACGATGGACGATTGTAACGACCTTCACGACACAGTATGGACAGCTTTATGCAGCATGTCTATGACATGGCCTTTGGCGGAAGATACCACCTGGTACGAAAAATCGGGTCTGGTTCCTTTGGTTATGTCTACCTCGGTATGGCGACAATTCTTTGACAAACCCATGTCTTCAAAATGTAATCTCATTCCGTTCAAACAGGGCGTGACGCTGAAACCGGCAACGAAGTGGCCATGAAACTCGAACATCACAGTGTTGCGCCATCTTTTCTCTCCGAGGAAGTGCGCATCTATCGATCCCTTGCTGGGGAAGCTGGCTTTCCTGAGGTATACTGGCATGGAGATCGGGACGACTTTGCCATTTTGGTCTTTGAGCTACTCGGGCCAAACTTGGAAGACTTGTTCCGATACTGTGGTGACCAATTCTCGCTGAAGACGACGCTGATGCTCGCCGATCAACTACTCCGTCGCTTCGAGAGTCTCCATTCAAACAACTACCTTCACCGGGATATCAAGCCTGAAAACTTCCTCCTTGGTCTGGGCGAGCGAGGGAATACTGTCTACATGACCGATTTAGGTCTTGCGATTTACCGCCATCCTGATCGATGGGGATCGAACGGTCCACCTCGTCCTCCTCGTGATGTGAAAGCGCGTCCTCCTCAGCTACTAGGCACATGCAGATACGCGAGTATCAGGGGTCATTTAGGCATCCGTAAGGCGACATCCTGACTATTTTTAGAAAGTGCCAGAAGACCGGCTGACCCTTTTCGCCAGCACAATCCCGGCGCGATGACCTGGAAGCACTTGGCTATATGCTTGTGTACTTCCTCCGTGGAAGCCTTCCCTGGCAAGGTCTCAAAGCAAAGCCGGAAGAGAAGTACTTGCTGGTTCTGGAGAAAAAGCAGGCGACCAGTACGAGCGAACTCTGCGCAGACCTGCCAACCGAGTTCGTGGACTACTTCGACTACGTGCACAATTTGCGCGATGAGGATCGACCGGACTATCAGCACCTCCGGAGCGTATTCAGCAATCTCTTTCGCCAGCAAGGATTTGAGTACGACAACGTCTTTGATTGGACGATCCGAGAATTCCTGAGACTGGAGCCTGACGCCCAAGAACTGCTTGCACCGAAAGATGTGGACGAGCGACGGGGCGAGGACGCTAGGGATGCAGCAAGGAATGTGACCAAGGCAGGGCGTCGAAAGAGGGGGTAACATCCTCAGGATGGATAGGGGGAGGGCCCTAGACACGCCTCCCTTTTGCATTTGACAGCTGCTGGCTGGACATCTCTCAAGCAATTACGCTTGCACACTAGAGAATTCGAATGATCGAGAACCCCACAAAAGTGACCAGGAGCAAAAGAGCCGCCTACATCCTGGTCAGATTCACAATAGCGACCAGGGGTGACCCTCAGATTCAGACGGTCGGCATGCCTTGGCGTCATTGCTGCCTGCGAAACGGTTGGCTCTCGATCAAGCATTTCTCACCGCCAGAGGCTCAAAAATTGTGTGTGTCAACACTCAACTGTATCCAATACGTTCTCATTGGCTGGGTACAACTACTGCTCTGCCACCGCCCTTTCAACGAGAGAAATGTTTGTCGACCAGGGTGCAGAGTCAGGGATCAACCAAGAGATACTGACCGTCTTGGATGGTCTCAATTTCGGAGCAGTGGAAAGCCTACGCTAAATTGTCTGGATGGGTGGAAGCACCCTCTTCTGGACCGATGATCACGAGGAGTGCCGTCTTCTGCAATCTCCCTAGGGCTATCGTTTCAAAGGGAGGGCAGGGTAGTGACCGTCGACGCCGTCATTCATGGTCAATAGACCGGGCTACCCACCATTCCTCCTCGCCTTTGTCAAAGCCACCAGTAAACGTGGTGACGCTGGCGAGGCACACTCCTCGGCATCTTCAAAGGCACAGGACACGAAGAAAGAAGGACGGACCGAAACACGATCAGCTATACCTCGGTGCAGCTCAATACAAACTTTGCAATGAAACTTTTATTGGAACGAGAGAAGATGCCTCTCCTCTCTCTCTCTCTCTCTTTCTCATACACACAAACACATGTTGGTATTATACAAAGCTTGGAGGTGGGTATCTTTCTTTTGTCAACCAGGACAATTATCCGCCTCTCCATTAAAACCCCCATTGGGCTCCCGATGCAGGCGCCTCTGCCGATAATTCGTAGTGGCTACTGCTCCATGTCGGACCAAAGCGGGGTTACTCCAGAAACGCCTTGTTTCTATGCCATGGCAAAAACGAAACGCCCGACCTGTAGGACCGATACAAATTGTACAGGCACGCTGAAGACGTGGTGACCAAGTTGTCCTTGTTTCTCCAGGACTAGCAGCGGCGCAGGGGTCATGAAGTGGTCCCAAAGAGCCGTAGGAAAATCTCGTAGGTCGACATCATAACGGCGGCGGCAGGGACAGCTCGAAGCAAATGCGGCGTCATGCCTCCGTACAAACCAGCCAGCCCTTCTTCTTTGGCCACGAGGCGGAAGCACTGTATCAGGCCGGTATATTTGATCGTGACTTTGCCTGTCTCCGTTGTGATGGTTGGTGCTTGCCGTAGCCTCGTTCTGACAACTTCATGCGGATATGTAATGACTGCCGCAAAGAGCTTCGCACCAGCCGCGGCGCAAAACTTCCCTCCAACCTCCTCCGCGTCATCGAGCATTGTTCGCTGATACCCAGGGTGTGACAGGCGCTTCGCTTCCCTCCTGGCCAGAGACAGCTTCATCCGCTCGTACAATACCCATTGAAGGGTTGACTCGGTAACTCCCAAGTACGAGGCCGATAGGCCACGATACAGGCCTCGGATACCCTCGTGCCGGACAGTTTGCTTGATACAGTCCCAGCTGTTCTTGTACTGTCGTCCCTTGAGAGGATCATGGCTCGCAGTGTTTTTGTCGAGCTGCAGTCGTGTCTTGACCACCCAGATAGGGTTTGTGGCGGTTCCGGTTGCGATTCCCGCCGTGGCTGCCGCAAGAAGGTGGACGGTCCAGACATTCTCTCGCCCTTCGGGATTGAGGTAATTGTTTAGAATTCTCTTGCCATTCCCGTAAACGTAGAAATTGATACTCCTTGCGGGTACCACGCCGATCAGATTTGCGCCCAGACCTCGAAATAGCGCCCGAAACCCCTCATGTTGGTATATCGATCGCAATATCTGGACGGTCTCGGCGATGTGGAAGAATGCTGCTTTGGGGACGGAGGTGAAGGTGAGTTTATGTGGCAGAGAATGTTGAGCGTGTAGGGTTCTGAGTTGCGCTTGATAGAAATCGGACTGTAGTCGGGTCTTCAAGACGTCAAGAGGAGAAGTGAGGGTGGCCGCGGCCATGCCGCCGATACTAAAACATCATGAGTTTGAACCCAGTCAGACAACGGAGTCTAGTTTTGGGCGCATACCCTCCCGCGACGAAATGGGCCCATGGTTTCGCCTTGGGCCCATCCTTTGTCACCGCAGTCGCCTGGTCATTCTGTCCCCCGGGTACAACTTGTCCGGTCTCCTTCGATTCTAGGATCAGAGGACCTTCTCCTCTTGTGCTGGTACCCTGGAAAGGTTGGGGAGTCGCCGCAGGAAAGGTCATGAACGGTTTGCGGGGTTAGCTTAGAAGGAGATGGAGAAAACGAAGCCTGCACGAGTGGCGGAGAAAAGGCTAGGGAGAAGCAGAACTGTACAGTCAAAGAGGGAAAAGAACGATATTGCTGGTTGTACAATGCAAGGCGACAACGACTCTGCTTGAATTTCCAGTGTCAATCATTCGATTGCCGAAAAGGTAAATGGAAATTTTGGATCGGCAACGGATAAACTCTGCATCCGCGACGCCAAGACATGCAGTGTAGTCACGTGGACAGATTCAAATGACTGATTTCTGGGTCATTTTGGTCAAGACGCAAACATGTGATTTGACCTCGAAGTCGGACAGAGGATATCATGTCTCTACAGTATCAGGAGTACTTACCTCGTACCGAGTATACATAGCGAGGCTGTAACCTTTAGCAGTCTCGGTTTGTCCACAAGAAGGAAGGTGGAAGTTGGGATCTGTCCTTGTAACTTACTGTCACGAACTCCCGAGGTTATATCTATTGAGGATGACCCCTTTTACCGGCAACTACTCGTAAACCTTCGGCCAGTCACCATTCATCCCGCTTCCACCGGATCTTTGTTCAATAATCTCACTCCGACCCTTCCCTTCCTTTCCCGCCGGAACTTTTCTGCTCATCGTTCCCAAGGCTGCTGCTCCTCAGGCTCGATCCATTCTCGTTCCCGTCATGGAATTGTACAGGCTCATGACGCTGACGATTTACTTGCAACGAGAAAACGTCAAATCTCTGATATCCGCCAACAACATCATGGTACTGCTTGCCTTCTATACATTCATTCAGGTCGAGATCCGCAAATAGAATTGCTTCCCTGTTCGTGACCATGTTTTGGACATCTAGGCGTTGGTCTTGGGTGAGCTCCATGGCGAAACCTCCCTGGACAACCTTGCCTGTCGGATCCAGGAATTGACTTGCTCCTTGTGGATAGCTTGCTAGCTTCCTGTGCATATCCTCTGGTGCCTCTGTCATCGCGGCAATGTCAGCCATGGCAGCATCATCAAGATAGCCTGCACTCATGATCCCGAAGCATTTGGCCTCAAAGCAGTGAGCGGCTGCTCGCGTGTGATTTGCCGCAATGTTGTCATAATTGCGACCCGTTGTGCTTACAGGATTGTCTTGATTGCCGGTATTCTCGACCATCACTCGGGTAGGCCAGATGGCAGGCCAGGTGGAAATGTGAATTTGCTCTCCCTGTGCCATGAGGGTATATCTGGCTAGTGGGTTGGTGTTCTCACCACAGATCAGGGCTCCAATCTTGCCGTACCGGGTCTGTGCCACGCGTAGACCATAGCCATCGCCAGGAGCCCAGGTCAACTTCTCAAAGAATGTAGGCATCAATTTGCGATGGTGCACCAGAATCTCGCCATCCTCGCCGATGATGATATTGGTGTTGAAAAGAGTGCCCGCGCTGTACCGCACCTTCTCAGACACTCCCAGACTGATCACTACATGATTGTCGCGGGCTGCTTGACGGATGGCAGAGATCTCTTCGCCGTCAACATAGACCGACTCCTGCACCATCCGTCGGAAGAAATGATTGGTGTGCGTCGGCGGGAGGAGTGATGACCATAGTGGAAACGCAGGGATTGATGCTTCGGGAAACACGACAAGATTCGCGGATTGTCTGGCAGCAATGTTAATGCATTGAATGGTCTTCTGAGTTGTGCGAGCAGCAGAGAAAATGTGGGGTGAGATGTGGCATGTTGCTGCTCTCAGGCTGGGTAAAGCCATGATAGAGACGAAGCTTTTGATACGGGAATCAGCCGAGATGGAATTGGCCAGAGTCCAGACACTCTGACTCCATCATCTTTCGAATGCCCCGCGGTGTCCGTGTCGTGTGGGTGGTGGTTGTGTGGATGAGTGTAAGTGTGTGGCCTGATGGGTCCCCGGGGGGCAAAGTAACAAGGACCAAGTTAACCCAGGCATTTACAGGTATTAGTCGGAATAATTCTACTCGTTGTTTTGCAGTCTCAAGTGCTTTTGTTGCTTTTCCGAATCTGGTTTCCACTGCCTCGGTTCTCGGATTAGGCGAGGGATTCCCGTCCATCAAAGACCCTAAGACCAGCTACACTTTTATCCATTATCCCATTATTTGTTTGTTGATCACTAAATCCCAATCCCAATCCCATCAATCCCGTCGTCGTTCAGATTCATTTAATTCCTCTTTTCGCTGCTTCGATCGAGGAACCCTCTGACCCTCCTCATCCCCATCCCCAGCTTCTTCTCCGTCCCGAAATTTCTCCAGAATGTCGGTTCCGTACCTCATCAATAGTGCCGGTGGCCATATTCCTGCCTCGGAAAGAATCCCAGTTATTGCCAGACCTTTCGTGAGCGAACGAGCGAAGAAGACATTGGATCTGGTGAGTAATAACTACATGTATGAGTGTCATTGCAAAGCGCTCTCTACATTTGTCCTGTTACCGCTCAGTGGTACATCCCAAGTACCGCCGGGGTTAGCCCGGAAGCAACACAGCAACTTCCACGGAACTACTTGGGAGCAAAAACACCAAAGAAAAGTTAAGTGTCAATACTGATTAACGCCAATTCCCCTATCTAGGTCGAGAGATTTGTCGAAGAAGAATGCATCCCCGCCGATGCGGTCTTTGCCCAACAAATCAACCAAAATGGTGGCGACATTGTCTCCCGCTTCGACGCCCACCCTCAGGTCATTGAAGACCTCAAAGTCAAAGCCCGCAAGCTGGGTCTGTGGAACATGTTCCTGCCCAAGAACCATTTCAAGGAAGGTGCCGGCTTCTCCAACCTCGAGTATGGCTTGATGGCCGAGTACTTGGGCAAGTCTTCCGTCGCCAGCGAAGCCACCAACTGTGCCGCCCCCGACACGGGCAACATGGAAGTCTTTGCCAAGTACGGAACCGAGGAGCAGAAGAAGCAGTGGCTTGGGCCTCTGCTCAATGGCGAGATTCGGTCGGCGTTTTTGATGACGGAGCCCCAAGTGGCCAGCAGTGACGCGACCAACATCGAACTGGACATGAAGAGAGATGGCGACTACTACGTGCTTAACGGCCAGGTTTGTTCTCTCCCGCATTCTCGTCATCTTCTTCATGCCCATATCTGACGCTGACGATAAACAGAAATGGTGGTCCAGCGGTGCGGGCGATCGCCGGTGCAAGATCTACATCGTCATGGGCAAATCCAATCCCAACGAGCCGAGCCCTTATAAGCAACAGTCGGTTATTCTCGTCCCCGCTGACACCCCCGGCATCACCATTGAGCGAATGTTGTCCGTCATCGGTTTTGACGACGCCCCCCACGGCCACGGCCACATCACCTTCAACAACGTGCGCGTGCACAAGAGCAACATGATCTTAGGTGAGGGACGAGGCTTCGAGGTCGTCCAAGGCCGTCTCGGCCCCGGCAGAATCCACCACGCCATGAGATCAGTTGGTGCTGTGAGTTTAGACCCCCTGCTCTTCTTCCTCTTTCCCACCTCCCAAGTAAATCTGTGGGAGGACGTTTGTTTGGTGAGATAATTTCTAATCAAAATTTTTTTTACCCTTGTAGGCTGAACGAGCGCTGGAATACTTCCTCGCCCGCATGAATGACCCGGCCAAGAAGCCCTTCGGCAAACTCCTGGCCGAGCACGGCATCATGCTGGAGCGTGTGGCCAAGTCCCGTATCGAGATCGACTCTGCCCGTCTCGCCGTGCTCAACGCCGCCATCAAGATCGACCAGTCCAACGCAAAGGACGCGCTCAAGGAGATTGCCGAGGTCAAGGTGCAGGTGCCCAACATGCTGCTCGACGTCCTCGACCGCGCCATCCAGGCCTACGGCGGCGCCGGTGTGTCCCAGGACACGCCCCTGGCGGCCATGTGGTCGAGCGGCCGGACCATGAGGATCGTCGATGGCCCCGATGAGGTGCACATGCTGCAGCTGGGCCGCAATGAAAACAAGCGCGGCCCCGCTCTGTTGAAGCGCATCGCCGCCCAGAAGGAGAAGACTAGGGAGTTGCTCCGCCAATATGGCCTAGAGGCCAAGGACCCATTGGCTCTGAGACGGGTCAGTGGGGGAGCGTCGAAGTTGTAGAGGGAGTGTGAGAGACCTTAAAAAAAGAAAAGAGAGGGGGGAAAGGAGGGGATTGGTCGTGTGGACGCATAGTCAGCTTGTGTATCCATGTTGGAGAGAGAGAGAGAAGAGAAGCCACTTTTGGGCGTGGCTGGAACTATGGAACTGGCTGACTCACTAAATCACTGGCTGGTCGCCTTCTTTTTCCTTCTGGTGCTTGTGATTGTTGGTTGTGTAATTGACTGAGTAGATTGTGTCAAGGAAAATGAGTGTCCGACTTGCCTTTCTACCTGTGTCTACCTGTAAACGTCTTTGCCCGTTCTTCAGGGGCTTCCTTTTCCAAGCCCCCCTTCGCTACCGAGTATGCTACTCCTTATGCTTCTTCGAGTGACTCAAGCATCTCGAGACCTATGGTGGTCGATCCAGGTGATCCTCGGCAAGCTTGTGACATGTGCACCCTTCGAATTCCCTGAGCCCCAATAGACCACATGCATGTTCAATTCAGTCTGAAGGAACCCAACTCATCAAGCTCAAGACGCCGGGGTTCACATGCGCCTTTCTGAACGGCGCTCGAAAAGAGACTGGTTGATCAACATAGACCGATCACCAACTCCGCGCCATACCGGAGGATTTCTGGGTCTAGAACGACTGCTCCCACATCTGCCTATTAACGTAGAACTTAGGACACGCTTACCTTCCCATCACGAGTTTCTCCAGCGTCCGATTCCAAATTTGCCAGGGCAGCACATGGAGCAGTTGTGGCTCGTGAATTCTCTGGTCCACCACTTGAAGATCAAGACTGGGAAGGCGATCTTGACAGTCCACAGGTCACAAAATTCTCTAGCGAACGAACATGGCAGCACCCCTAGAGAACTTTCGGCCTGGCCGATCCATGCTTTTCACCTTGGGATCGACTACCACATGTGTGTTCGGGCGTTGAGCCAACATTCCGCAAAGCCAGGGATGCTGGTATATTGTCGGAATTATTTTCCTCTGGCGTTTACCCAACATCGCAGATCACTCGCACCATTGGAGCAGCAGTTCAGGTTCATTTCGCAAGGGGCTGGCCATGCTGAAATATACATCCAACTTAGAATTTCAGCCCAGATATAGAGTGCTGTGTCCGTGGTTCAGGTGGATCAGTTAACCAAACAGTTGGAAAACTGACCAAGCGCGCCACGAACCTGGTTTTCATGACGACTGGTTGAGAATTGAGAAGAATACCTACCTCTAAGGATCCAAGGGTTTGGATTCCGAGTGGCAACCGTAGTGGGGGTTGTGGTCCATGTACTCAGCATCGCGGAATCTCGGTGGTTGAGGACAGTCGCCACCAAACATGCCACGATTGGGCGAGATACACGCACGGTGTCACAAAACGTTCGTCATGCAAGCTGCGACGTTTCCTCAAGCTCAGGAGGCGGCTGTGGAAATCATGTAGATCACTGGATCGTCCGACTGATTTTGACCCCGGCAGCACCGAAAGTGTAGGGCGAGGATATTGGGATTAGCTCGTGCTCCTTTGAAACGTAGCCATAGACCAATGGTTAGGACTTGGGGTTATTCGTTACCCTGATTTCAGTCTGGCGAACAATGGTCATGGTGTTGTCCAACGGCTGTAGGGATTCTCTGCTCGTGGTTTGACAGCCACACAAAGTCAAGGAGAGGTCAGTGGTAGACACTTGCGTCAGCAGGAGGAGCCAGAAGAGCGTTGCCACAAGCCCGCCACAATGCCAACTCTTTCCTTGCGTGTTTCCTTTTAGAGATAGTCACATCATTGATGGAGACAAAAAAGAGCGCCCCTTTCTGCGCGGAGTCGGCATGGCGTCTTCCTGGTTTGACAAATTGTCACTATCCGGAACCTTAGATATACAGGCATATGGGCTGAGGTGAGAGGAGGCGGCAAAAAAGAGCAGATTTTGGGTTTGGATCCAGAGGGCGGTTCGTTGATCTCACTGGACGAGGAGGGGTAACGGTAGCGCAGCCGGAGCAGGACGCAGGATCTCACAGAAGGAATAAACCGAGAAGTCTCGAATCGAGGGTCGAGAGACGGAGAAGTGTGAGAAAATGCCATCCATGGTGGTGGTGGCGCAGTTCGAGAGTTTCAGCTGCCGGCGCATCTGTGGGACATTGACTTAGACTTTTTCTCCCTTCTGCTGCCACCCTCCATCAACACCATCACTGCTACCACTACCATCTCCTCCTTCGCAAGCGGAGTGGACAACCTGATAAATTGTCCCTCTCTCCACAAAAACCCGCTGACAAGCGCAGTCTCTATCCCCAGGATCGCCATGCTGTGGAGGATCCATCTCTTGTTCTGTTCGCGCCATTTCTGCAAGGCGATCCGCCCTCGATGAACTCAATTGTTCCAGTACCAGGCCTGTTCCATTTCCAAAATTATGTCACCTGGTTGATCTACCCAGACCCGTATCCTATTCAGGAGGATTTGGGGCGAGGGATCGCATTCCCGCGGCGGAGCTGGGGTACATGGCCCTTCTTTTCGGATTCATGAATAGCAACTGACATATGCTATCCATATGTGTATATATTGCTGGAGATCCCCTTGTCCAGAACGCTCCTCACAATCTGGCTGACCTTCACTCTGTCGCGATTCTCGTGTTGCCACTCCCGCCCGCCAAACCATTCCAGATACGAAGAGGACCCCAGTCTGTCTGTCTCTACCATCACATTCATCTCTTGTTCAGCTGAGAGAGGCCCCTCAATAACCGGCTTCGGGCCTTGACGCGTCCCCCTTCGAAGCCACCCCAGCATAGCGCCAGGGTGATTCGGCCAATCGTGATTTTCATTTTACTCATCACTTTGCTAGCGCTGGTGGTGTGCTGCAGTTCGCCCGCCCAGAGTCAGCTTCTGTCCGTCCAAAGGAGCATTTACCTTTGATGATGCGTATCTAATGCATTTTGGCCAAATACCACTTCTCGAATCGCCGAGTGTTGATGCTTGCTGGGTATGGCGTCCGAAGCCAGCACAGCGCCTGGGGGTAAGAGATCTAAGCAGGAAAGAATCCGCGACAACCAACGACGCAGCCGCGCTCGACGCCAGGAGTATATGGCCGGCCTGGAAAGACGATTGAAGGAATACCAGGTGTCTTGTCGCGCCGCTGAGTTGCAGCGCGCAGCCTTTGATGACCTGCAAGTCGAAAATGCCCGTTTGCGAGATCTATTGCATTATGTTGGCATCAGTCCAGACATCGTCGAGACTTTCGGCCGCCATGAAATGCAATCACTACCCGGCAATGCGCCGGCGCTGGCGTATCGCCAACTCAAACCTAGATATCATCAACCAGACACACTGCAAGCTGGCGAGGTGCATGTTGCGGAGAGCATAACTAGCAGAGAGTCAGAGTCAGAATCATCTTGCCCCATGTTCCCTTCATCAGCATCGTTTTGTACCCCAACGCCTGCCTTAGCCCCAGATCCTCTACAGGACTACGAGGCACAGCAGTGCCCGCCCTTTGCGGCAGCTTCCAATGTCCAAACGACGAATCAACCTGAGCTCGCCTCAATAGCCCCCCAAGCCAGTCAGTACGAATGGATGTTCCGCTCCGACGGCCTGAATAACCCTCCCTTCTCTCCCGAGGCTTTTCGTTGTGATGGTTTCGCAGTTCCGCCAAATGGATCGATTCCCCCAGAAAATACAAACACCATGCAATGCTTGATTGCCAAAGGAATGATCGAGCAGTATGACCCCACGCCCACAGAAATGGAAGAAATCAACACGCGGCTTACCACGGATATCGGCCTTCCCAAATTCCCGGACTCGGGCTGTCGGATGAACACCCAGGCTGTGCTTCAAATTTTGCAAGAGTTGGATACTAGGCCGAAACATGACTAAGTCAGTTGTTGTCATTCTCTTGGTGGTCTGCGTCAATCATCTATGCCGTCCAATTTTTGCGCTTGCCGAACCACTTGACTGCATAAACAAGCCCGAGAAGAACTGGCACCTCGATAAGGGGACCTACAGTCGCCGCAAGCGCTTGATCACTGTTGACGCCGTATGTGGCAATGGCTACAGCAATGGCCAGTTCGAAGTTGTTGCTCGCCGCTGTAAAGCTCTGGGTGCAGGCCAGTCGGTACCCGAAATTGAGCCTCCTGGTGATCATCAGCGTGGAGAGGAATATGACTGCAAAATACACGATGAGAGGAGCGGCAACCCTCACGACGGACACAATCTGATGGACCACGCGGCGGCCTTGAGACCCGAAAAGCACAATGATTGTGAAAAGGAGGCCGATCAATGACAGAGGTCCAATCCACTTCAGGAATCGTTTTTCGTACCAGTCTTGGCCAACCAGGTTTCGAAGGCTAAACCGGGTGACGATGGCAGCGGCGAGAGGTATTCCGAGGAAGACACCGACACTCTTCGCGACAGGCGCATAGTCAACGTTGACGCCTTCGGAAGATTGACTGATAACGTTGATGAAGAGAAGCGCCAGAGGGGCGAAGAGGACCATCTGTAGGAGAGAGTTGATAGCGACCAGGATAGCACAATACTCATTGTCGCCACCAGCCAACCCAGTCCAAATCAAAACCATGGCGATGCATCTGGCAATCCCGACCAGAATGAGCCCATCGCGGAGATCAGGCTCGTCGGGCAGAAAAGCCCAGGCCAGACCCAGCTGGATCCCGTCAGTATCGGGCGGCCCTACAGAATGCTGCGAAACTTGCCATCAAGAGAGGTGCAATGATCCAGTTGACGAAGATGCTGAAAAGGATTTGCACCCACAGGGTCTTTTCGCGAAAGGAGTGATGCAGCGTTTCAAATCTGACCTTGCACAAAATGGGATACATCATAACCAGCAATCCGACGGCTCAATTCAAAGTTAGCCCACCGTTGCTCATCAACTGTCTCCCTCGACGTACCTATAGGAATTGAAACGCCAACAAATTCGCCTCTCTGGAGGGCAGGACCAGTGCTGGGGACAAAATTGCCCAGCAAAATACCCGTGAGCATCGCCAGGAAGATCCATAGAGCGAGGAACTGGTCGAGAATGCCGAGACTCCTGAAGGCTGAGGTGTGAATACTGAGCCGTGGTTCGTTGTCGGGTTGTTGCTCAAGATCTTGAGGTGCAATGGACGGTGACACTTCTGCAGACACTTCTGGAGCCAGTACAGCCTCCTTGTTCTGAAAGTCCATTGTCGGATGGAATGCAATATCGCTCAATTCCACAGCTAGTTGCAAGTAAAACGAAGACGCTGGGAAGCAGGAAATTTGGCGGTCATAACAGATATGAGTACGCAGATTTATAGATAGCCCATCGACACCGACTCTGTGGAGGCGCAATCCCAGACGACGCATATCTAGTATTTTTTATTTTTCAAGGTTTTCAACCAATGGGCGCGAGGCCGTGACAAACTGTGGCATCCCATTCTTGCTTCCGAGTCTTTCCCCAATTCATGCTTTTGGCAATCCTTCGAGCGAAGGATCGAGGTTGCTATTGGCGAATCGACCATATCCACACTATTTGGACGGCGCTGCTAGCAGGTACCTTGTAGATCGCCACTAATGTCCTCATTTTCTGGGCGAGTTTCCCGTATGTCTGCGACTTGACAGGCGAGGGGAGAAGATTCGGAGGGGCCAGGAACAGGCATAGTGCGAGATGGAGGGGACCTCAGCGGCGAAGCAATGGCTGTACCGAGGAGAGGTCACAAGCGCATCAAGCATCCAATGCTGACCGTCATCCCCCATCGTGCCGTCATTGCGTGATTGGAGACGCAAAGTTGGTGGTTGGTGTTGCATATTGCGGGCTCCAACGCAATTGATCGGCTGACCAGCGCAGCTTCTCCTTCTTCCACATTGCTCGATTCCCCGGATTTTCTCTCTTCTCGTGTCTTTGCGAGTGTTTGTGCGCTTCTTCTTGCACTCTCATGTCTTTTGTCCTTAGATTGAGCTCCTAACTCAGGTCCTTTTGATTTGCTCCTGTCCTGCTTCCTCCGTCATGCGGCTGGTTTCCGCATTGGCGGCCACGGCCGCCGCCCTCGCCATCCAGGTCGAATGCTCACGCCTCACCCCTCCCGTTCTCCCTCTGATCGTTCGAAACCCCTATCTCAGCACCTGGCTAAATAATGCACGAGACGTACCGTGGGAAAAATGGCCAATGTTTTGGACAGGTCAAGAGATCGGCTTCTCCATCCTTGCCAGTGTTCCCGGGGAGAGAACCGCATACCCTTTGCTGGGAAGACCCCAGGACTCGCTCCGAAAGGAGGGTGACAAGTAAATATTGAAACCCTTTGCTCGTGAAGCACCGAATTGACCTCTTCGGCAGTTATACTGTATCGACACCCATCTACCGTGGAGCGGTCTACGATGCTTCCACTACGAATCTGTCCTACTCTCTTCCGTTGCCCTCACTCTACTCCGAGTCCAGCAACATTGACATCACCATCTCCTTTTTGTCTCCTATAACTCCCACCTCGACTGTCAGACAGTCTATCCCGGCGAGTTACGTCACCGTGTACGTCTCGGGCAATGTGCCTGTAGATATCTACATTGACGTCAATGGTCAATGGGTCAGCGGTGACCGGGGAAGCAAGATCGTTTGGGGTCTTGACCATACAGCGTTGGAGGGTATCTCGAAAGGTTTCAAGACCTGGAAGGTTCAGAGAGCTGTGCAACAACTTTTTACGGAATTTCAAGATCGTGCTGAATGGGGTACCCTCTACTTCTCGGCTCCCTCGGACGTGCGACACGAGGCCGGTGTGTCGGCTCGGTTGAGACAGGAGTTTGCCAGGCATGGGACTTTGAAAGACAAGATCGACCACGACTTCCGTTCGATCATGGACGAGGAACCTGTCTTTGCATTTTCAAAGTCTTTTGAATTGAACAGCACGCGAACTACAGATCAGAGCATCACGTTTACGATTGCTCACATTCAGGACCCGGTCGTCCAGTTTGCTGCTGCGCGGGGGCTCACCTACATGCGACCTTTGTGGGAGTCATATTTCCCGACTGTTCAGGAAGTGCTTACCTTCCACTACCTCGATTTCCATCACGCTAGCCGGTTGGCGGCCAACTATTCGGCGCAGTTGGCTATCGACGCCTACCAGTCTGGTGCGGAGGACTACGTTGACATCGTTGCTCTCTCCGCTCGTCAAGTCCTGGGGGCAACAAGCTTTTCGGGCACACCAGACGATCCGATTTTGTTTCTAAAGGAAATTTCATCAAACGGGAATTTCCAGACTATTGACGTTATATTCCCCGCATTTCCGTTCTTTCTGTATACGAACGCGCGATGGCTTGGATATCTACTGGAACCGCTCATCGAGCACATGCTGAGCGGGCAGTATCCAAACAAATACGCCATGCATGACCTGGGTTTCCACTTTCCAAATGCCACTGGCCATCCATTGGGACAAGATGAGTATATGCCCGTAGAGGAGTGTGGAAACATCCTCATCATGGGACTGGCATTGGCCAATGCCTTGAAGAATGATGCGGGCTGGTCTGCGTCGTCCACATGGCAGGCGATGGGTGGTGTTCCCACACCAATGCCCTCGTCGGACAGCCTTGCTCCTCTCTCAGTTGGTAAGGAAGACGGCATCCTCTACATTGATGATGCTTGGGTTGGGCAGCCTGAAAGCCTGAAGAGAGCCCAGAAGTGGGTCCACAGAAGCTATCGGTTATGGAAGCAGTGGACAAGCTACCTGGTCGAGTTCTCTCTGCTACCTCATAACCAGCTCTCCACAGACGACTTTGCTGGCTGGCTTGCTCTGCAGACAAACCTGGCTCTCAAAGGCATTATTGGCATCAAAGCCATGGCTGGGCTTGCAGAACTCACAGAAAACCACGAGGACGCCAAGGTATTCAACAACATATCCAAAGTGTATATCGAAAAGTGGGAAGAGTATGGTATTTCTCGTGACAAAACACATGCCAAGGTCGCCTACAATTGGTATGGTTCTTGGACCACCACGTACAATCTGTACGCGGATAGTTTGCTATGCTTCCACTTGGGCTCAGACAACTCATCGACAAAGACCTCTATTGCTGGACGTTATGAGTATCAGAAACCACTCAAGGGTTCCATTCCCGGGGACAAAGACGGATTCGTGCCGAAACACATATACCAGATGCAAAGCGATTGGTACTATGCCGTCCGGCAGAAATATGGATTGCCTCTGGACTCGCGACACCTGTACACCAAGACGGATTGGGAATTCTTTGCAATGGCCGTCGCCGCGCCGAAAGTCCGAGCCAACATCTTACAATCTGTCGCCAAGTGGGTGAATGAGACTGTGACCGATCGCCCTTTTACCGATCTACACATGACGGAAGGGGAAGGAGGGTTTCCCGGACCGAACTTTTTTGCACGGCCCGTGGTCGGAGGACATTTTGCATTTTTGACATTGGGCCAAGCCTGTAAAGGCAAGGCTATGGATGGCCTGAGCTACCTGAATGACGACGTGACGAAAGAGATGGACGTGCAAGGCATACTGGATGCGGAGAGAGCAGAGGCTGGATGGCACTCGCTCGAGCTGTGAATCAGGGAGTAGCGTCAGCAGCTGCGGAAACCGACAGAAGTTGAGCGGCGGTTAACCCCTTGGCTCCTTTATAGGCATCGGTCTTTATATATCACACAACGAGCAATAAGCATTGCAATTGAATTCCTGAGCTGAGATGTAGCCAAGTGAGCCGTTTTGTCTCTCTCTTCGTCCCCGGGTCCTCGTCTGTCTGTATGAGTCTTTATTTGAGGAGTCTTGAGCCCTCCCTTCGGAAAAAGGTCTGAAAAAGGACGACACGCGGCAGGCACCATATACGCTCTGTAAAGGGAGAATGATGGGTAGGTAGGTAGGTATATAGATATATGTGTACTTGGTATCGGGTATGTATCTAGACTCTTAGACTTGACATCTACCTGTAGATCAACACCCGAAGATCTAAAGTGGCGAGTGATGCAGGCCAGGTATATAAGCAGATCGTCTCGCGGGTTTCTCTGTCTCTTTCTCTTGTAGCGAAGCGATGTCGGAGGAGAGTGAGAGGAGAGATGAGCGGAATGTCTATATCCACACAGAGAGAAAGAGAGGGGGAGAGAGAGAGAGATCAACCGCTGGGATCATCCGCCGCTCACCTCCAACATCTCCTCAACACTCCCAAATTTCTCCCTCGGCTTGCCCTTTTGCTTCCCAATCTTCTTCTCTACCTGGTCTATGTTCTGCCAGTTGTCCCAGTGGATCGGTCTGAGTGGGAAACTGGACGAGACGGCATCGGCCTGGACGCCCTGCCAACCATCTCGTCTCTCAGTCGGTGCCGTCGTCGATCCTTGAACCTTTTTCTTCCAGTCCTCCACGATTGCTTCGGCGGTTTGAAACGCATCGGTCATGGTGCTGGCGATCACGCCGGTCGGACCGCGTTTCACCCAGCCTGAGCAGTATATGCTGACATCGTGTCCTGAAGTCTCGGCTTTCTCCAGTGGCACGACTCGTCCCAGCCCGTCATGCCGAATAGTCCCTTTTCTCTCGTCGAAGTCGACACCCAGGTCTGCCATCCCAGGAATGGCTTCGGCCTTGTAGCCTATCGATCGGAACAGCGTCGATGTGGGTACCAGCTGTGTGTCATCCGTGGTGCTGACTTTGGATTCTGGATCTGCTGGATTTTCGAGTTCTGTTTTTGAGAACACCACTCCTTGCAGGATTTCTGGGTCTGACTGGGACCATTCTAGCGACTTGGGTGCGAGCAAAAAGTCCAGAGACCATGATTTTATAGCGTTTTCCTTCAGAGGGCTCCCCTTTTTCAGAAGTTCCATGAGTCGTCGCTTCGGGCGAGGCAACTTTGACAGGTCTGGCGGGAATAGATGATCTGGTATAGGACGGAAATTGACATCGTCGAGGTGCAAAAGCTCCCTCACTTCCTTGATCGTGAACGCTGCTTGCATGGGCCCTCTCCTGCCCACGACATGGACATGCTTGATTTTGCTTGCAGAAAGGGCGTTTAATGCGTATTCTGTAATATCAGTCTTTTCCAGGGCGTCAATTCTGCTCAAAAGTGTTCTGGCCACGTCCAATGCCACATTTCCCTGCCCAACAACCACCGCGGTGTCCCCGGCTGTCAAGTCAGGGTCCAGATGTCGGTATTCGGGAAGACCATTGTACCAGCCCACAAAAGCGCGGGCGGAATAGATGTGAGGCTTGTCTTCTCCC